AAAGTGGACTCAATTTGCACTATTTCTGGCAGTCTGCAACCCCATCTTTTTTATATGATTATATAAGTATACACATAAATATGGGCAGAAAGCATTGTTAGTGGAAATAATATTTAACAGGTCTGGGTATAGCTATCTGATTCAAGGGTGCTACAGTGCTTTGGCAGTTGAAATAAAAAGGATCTAAACACAAGAAGACACATTGTTTGGAGGGAAATAGGTGAAATAATGCAAGATCCTCTCACAAATTTCACAAATTTGTGAAAAAATTGTGAAACATTCATTTGCAGGAAAAGAAATCCAACAGTTTTCACAGAAAATGGTGCATTTGCACAAGGCATGATGTTTTTTCCTGTACAACAGTACTATGTTTTGTGCAAATGAGTGTTTCACAAAAAGTCAAAAAGCATGACAAATCATCAAAAAATGCACATCAAAAAATTAATCTCACCCAGCAAAAAGAAAGCTTTTGAAAAGGTTAGCACTGTATGCAAAAATGAAATAGGAGATGAAGTTGTGACTACAACATTGAATTACCATGGTTTTTAGTTATACTTGCAGGCCTTATGATAAAAATGGGAAATCTGTCACATTTGTTTTCTCACATATTCAGAATGTTGATAATTTTGGATAACTGTGGCAAACAATGAACAAATATGACATTCTCATACATCTCAATATATGGGCACTGGTCAGTTTCACTTTCTCTGTCATCTGGAATTTTTTTTTTTTTTTGGAAAACTCTGATTAAAGTGAATTGAAGTTTGCATCAATGCCTCGCTATAGAAAACATTTAGCCATTCTTCTTTTTTTTTTAATTCTAACTCAAGCTTAGACATCCCAGCATTTAACATTACCCCATCCAGACTTGCATTTTATGGACTATTAATCTCTGTTGCCTAACAAGACCTGTGCAAGTGTCTGATGTACGGGATTATTGACTCTATCTGACAAATTACCTAAACCCATATTGCTTTCGTCTATATTGTAGCCATGAAAATATTTGTCCTGCTTTATAGCACTGTTTCACTTCCAACTTGAGAGACATCTATTTCCTACTTTAATCTTGAAATATCTATATTGCTTGTTGGTTTCTATGTCTCTGAAATTGTATTCTTCTCTTGTATAGGAGTGTTCTTTTAAAGTTTGGCTTCAAAGACTACAAAAGGAACATGGTTAAGAAAAGCATGTTCATTTGTTTCATGCCCCTTTTTATCAATGATTCATTTCTGTGTGTCTTCAGTAAATGATAGGAAACAAAGCCTATCTTAAGGGAAATGAATTTCTGAACTCTAGAGATAAGTGATTACAAACAGAACTAGAAGGTAAGGGATTTAAAACATGGTTTACTCCAGTTTCTCTGCACATATTAACACCAGATAACATTGGACTGAGATATATTTTTGCTCGAGGTAGAAACTTCAGAAAATGCCTGAAGTTCTGAAAAACTTCAGAAAATGCCTGAAGTTGAGATGCATAACAAAGGATTATGTTATTTCAGTACCTGAGGCAGAAAATCATACAAGCAACATTGTTTCTCCCTATGAGTAAATGTACAGGAAAAAGCAACAGCAACAAATTGCAATTGTTGTTGTTGTTGTTGTTGCTGCTGCTGCTGCTGCTGCTGCTGCTTGTCCATTCATAGCTGACTGGGTAGCTGCTTCATTCTGCTGAACAGAGTTTGAAAATTATAGTTCCAGAGCAGTATTTTTCTGGGTTCCATTTCCTAGTGGACAGACATTTCTAGCATTTTTGTGAAGTTTGTATGCACTAAATGTTTCTTCATTTTTAGATTGAAGTACAAGGTAGCCATTGTGTGAAAATTAATCTGGTATTTATCATCTGAAAGAAATCAATACCAGAAGTACCATTGCCTGGATGGGACTGGTGGCCAGAAGATCCACACTACTATGGAATGATAGTTCCATTCTTGACTTTATGGCCTGCATTTGCTATGAGTTGTACAGGAACACCCCTGGTGCTAGATCTTACACCACGAGAAGTTCATTTCAGGCAAAGCTCATACACAGCTCAGAGCAGCTGTATGAGTAGTAGCAATAAAACAAGATTTTATGCCCCCATGGTGGCAAATCCATCAGCCATCCCTGCTGTGCAGGCCAATACAATGTAGCTCATGTTATGTTTAGTTAACAAGGGCAGAGGTTGTATGGACCTACCCTACTCTAGAGAGCCAGCATGGTTTAGTGGTTTGAGCCTTGGACTATAACACTAAAGACCAGGGTTTGAATCCCAGCTTGACCATGCAAACACATTGATTGAATCTAGGCAAATCACACTCTTTCAGCCTCAGAGGATGACAATGGCAACCCCCCTTTGAATAAAACTTGCCAAGAAAACCCTATTATATGTTTGCCATAAGGTCACTATAAGTTGGAAATCACTTGAAGGCAAACAACAACAACAACAACAACAACAGCCTAGCCTAAGGGCTAGAATCTGTTTCTTTCATCCAGTCCATCTGCTATCCAGTCCATCTGCTATAAAAATCCCTGCCCTCAGTTCAAACAGTTCCTAAGAGGTTTTCATCTAATACAATATCACAATTCCAAAAACCCACATGTTTATACTTTTTATATATATGAAGAAAACACATACTTTTGCCCTGATAATTAGCAAATTGGTTGTCTTATTATACTGAGTTTCACTAATAAACTGAATTAAAATGAAATGAGAGGAAGAAATACAATGAGCTGGTGAGCTAAATGATACAGATTCTGCAAATCTCATCAGTATTTACTGGCTGGAGGTAAATTACAAAAATTAAATGTGGCTTAGCTCTTTAGCAGAGCAGGGGGAAAGATCAAATCTGTTGGCCCAATAGTCAATTATCTTAAATGGATAATTCTGCTGTATAAAATGGACCCATTGTTACTTAAGTTACAAAGTGACAAGCAATTACTTAATGAGCTCATATATTACCACATTCCTTTCAACTTTGTAATTATTGAATTAATTGAGGAGTGCGCTCTTAGATAGGCATGCCTTTTAACAGGCTAATTTTTACAAACTGTAAATGATCACTTAGAGATGCTGAGTTTTCCCTGAAAATGGGGGGGAAAAGGGGAGCCATGCTTTAAAAAAAAAAATAAGAATCCAGTTCTTTTATCCATAAAATGAAATCCATACCATGGGTTCTTGGTGAGTCTATCAAAAATGAATTATTAGGTTTGACAAACTATAGTAACAGCTGTAGCATTCATATAATCAAATGAATAAATATAGAAATTATTGTTTGCTCTGAAAGAAAGGATTTCAAGTAAGGTGGGAGAAACAGTGTAGATACAGAATAAGACTCAAAAATTATTTTTATTTTAGTTACTTGGTATGTCACCTGCTTTATGAAGGAAAATTTGGATACTTGACAATTGGGAAAGTAGTGCCCTCAGGATACAATTGAACAGAGACCTATTGCTTTTATAAAATAAAAGCTGTTGACATTGTAGAGAGCATCTGTGGTATGTGTGATGGAGTTCGGTATGGCTGCATCCCTGTGAATTGTACATCCCTGGAGAATGCTTAGGGAGAAGCCTTACTTGACTTCCATAAAGAAATGGAGAGTTTCTTCTAAGGAGATGAAAAGTGAGAGTGTAAGAAAACCTGTTGTACTAGGGGGTAATGTAAAGTTTTAATTGTCACCTTTCAAATTTTTGACAGAATGTTTGTTTTGATTTGTAGTTGTCTACATAATCACTATCCAGATTTACACATTTTTCCCAGCATTCCTTGACCCTCCAAATTCTGTTATTGTAGAAGTCTGCAGGTTACACATTACATCATTCTTCCACTTCATGTTGTCAAATCGGCGACCTCGCAATGAATTTTTCATTTTTGGGAAAGGAA